TCAGAGGTGGTGAAAAGGGTGAGGTCAGAGGTAGTGGAGGGGGTGAGATCAGAGGCAATGGAAAGGGTGAGGTCAGAAGTAGTGGAGGGGGTGAGGTCAGAGGTAGTGGAAAGGGTGAGGTCAGAGGTAGTGGAGGGGTGAGGTCAGAGGTGAGAGGCACCTCATCTGGAAAACGGTGTCTTTGTGTCTGGTGGCATTAAAAGAGGTTTGTCTGAATTCAGAATGACAGGTGTCTCCTGAAAAGAGACAATTTGAAATGAGCTGTAGAGGGATGACAGTCTGACCAAAAGGGGAAGAAGCCATCTCTGGACTGAGGAATTCTGCAGGTAGCACCCGACAGTTCTGGGAACACAGGCTCCCCACAGCCTCCCGACAGCAGCCCCACTCAGACTCCGCGCTCCCTATTGGCTCTCGGAGTTAATGGTGGATACTGTGTTAGTGCATCCAGTTCTGGGAACTTCAGTGGGATATCAGGAAACCTGGGAGCAGTCTGCATAACTTCTTTAATACTTTTCTGTGCTGTAAACTTCTATTAAAGAGTCTTTTAAGGATTTATTATCTGTTTGTGTGCATGTATCCATTGTGTGTATGTGCACATGCATGCAGGTTCCCACAAAAGCCAAAAGAGGGTGTGAGGTCCCCTGAAACTGGAATTGCATGCTGTTGTGAGTCATTGGATGTGGGTGCTGGTCCTCTGCAAGAGCGGCATGCGATCTGGATTGTTGAACTATCCCCAACCCCCATACTTTCTATTATTGATTCCACCCATTTATTTACATCAGTGATGGCGGGGCGGGGGGCTTTGTTGGACCAGGACACTGACTGGGTCAGGGAGACCTGGGGTGGGAGTAGGGCTAATGAGTGCACCCCTGAGAACCTCGATCTCACCTGGGGACCAGGCCAAGGTCAGAGGCTGGGGCTCCACCTTCTGGTTCATTTTCTATCCCCTGAGCCATCAAATGGGCCTGCTCTAGCTCTTGGAACTCAGGAGTGAATGTGTGGCAGATACACTACCCACATTGCAGCTGCCAAGGAGTCAGGTGGCAAGGTGAATTTTCTTGTTGGGGTGCAGCCGCTGTAGCTGATATCCATCCCAACGTCCCTGGCCACTTCTGACTGGGGTGTACCCATGAGGAGGTGGGCAGTGGCTTCTTCAGGGAGCCAGCTGTCCTTCTGAAAGCACAATGGGGTTCCTGAGAAGAGAAGACACTGCTTCTCTTCTGAAATAGGGCTGCCTACCCTTGCAGGAACAAGCCCATTAAGCATTTCCCAGGCTTTGAAGAGCAGCACAGGACTGGCAGATTTTCAGGACAGTCTGGCACAGGACTTTTGATTTTCCCTCACGGTTGGGGTGCAAGGCTTTGCTGCATGCTAGGCAAATGCTCTCCCACTGAGCTACACCCAAGCTTCTCCAGGTCTTGATTGACAGGGCAAATGGCCAGAGTGGGGCTTCTGTGATACACAGCTCCAGCATCCTGGCAATGCTGTCTCATCCCAGACTAGCCCTGTGCAGGTCCCTCCCCTTTCTCACTCTGTGATGCACAGTGGACATCTGCAACCCAGGACACTGCCCTATCCTCTGGAGTCAAAACAATACTGTCTTTTGCTTACTGCTACCAACCCTCCTCCAGAATCTGAGGCCCGTGAAGCCAGCTTTAGCCTCTATCTTTCCTAACCTTTTCACTTCTCCTGGCCCGAGGGCCCTTGACTTCCTTAACCCTGAGCCTCCATATATGAAACTTGGAGAAAAGTGGCTTTGAACTCAAGCTGCTTCTAGAACCCAGAGCCAGGCTGGGATGTGGCTCAGTGGGACACTGCAGGCTTTGCACACTTGCACACGGCCCCAGCTCCTCCCTCTCTATTGCAAAAGCATCAAATAAAATACCACATCCTGGTTCACTCATTCAACACTTCTTGTGAGGCTAGCCTGAAGCTTGGGGAGCCCTAGGTATGCAAAGCTCCTGACCCTGGGGGCTGACACCCCAGAGTCAAGGGCACACAATAACCAGACACAGAGAGCAGCCAGGAATCTTTGTCTTGTGGGTACATGAGTGGCTCTCGAAGAGATATGTGTTTTATGTCAGGTGGTAAGGAACAGGATACCTGTGATGGCCTGTTAAGATGCCTGAGAAATTACAGACTAAAAGGTTAGCTGGCGTTGGAAGAAAGAGTGTCTCAGGCACAGGAGAGAGCTAGTGCAAAGGTCTGTGCACAAGAAGGCGCTTGACACATTGAGTCAGAGTTAACCATGGTGCTAGGCAGAGTCAGCATGTGCACAGAACCTGCGGCAGGAGGGAGCCAGCTCAAAGCCTCAGAGTCAAAACCTGTATCGTTGTGGCCAAGTCCTTGGTGCTGATGTGCAGCAGGTACAGCTGAAGTCCTGGGCCCTGCTTCTTCAGAGTCAATCCCCGAGCACAGGTGCTGAGAGCAGGGTGGGCTGACCAGGCCCTGGACTGTTCATGTTAGCACACAGCTGTCCACCCTCGGCCTGGGACACTGCAAAGACAGTGACATCTTTGAAAGCTGAGTGGCAGCTGTGCTTAGCAGGTGGCTCAGGCTGTTGGCCCAGCCACCCATGTCAGCATTTCCTTCTGAGAACCAGCACTGTACAGACCTTAACCCTGAAAGACAGGAGTGCAAAGGCCAGGGCTCCTCAGGCTCAGCAAGCTGTTGACATGGGGCCCAGTAATCGTTTGAGAGTATCGTATATATTATACAATGTTCTATGGCATTCCTGGCCTTTATCAATTGGATGCCAGGAACTACCATCAATGCCAGTTACAGCAGCTTCGCTAATAATTCCCTTAATGGCATCCCCCTCAATCCAGGGGTGGTGCAGAAGGCAAAAACAACCGCACCCTGGTGCGGACTTTTGTTACTTTTAAAGATTTGTTTCTCTCTCTGTGTGTGTGTGTGTGTGTGTGTGCCTGTGTGTGTGTATGTGTGTGTGTGTGTGCCTGTGTGTGTCTGTGTATCTGTGTGTGTGTATGAACATGTGAGTACAGGTACCAAAGAGTCCAGAAGAAGGTGTCTAATCCCCTGGAGGTGGAATTACAGGCAGTTGTGTTTCCCACTGTGGGTGCTGGGACCCAAACTCGAGTTCTTTGCAGCAGCAGGAAGTGCTCTTAACCCCAGAACTAGATCTCCAGCCCCAGGATGATTCCTTTTGTTTGGTTGAAACAGACTCTCACTATGTAGTCCCGGCTGTCCTGAAACTCACTCTGTAGACCAGGCTGCCCTCAAACTCACAGAGATCTACCTGCCTCTGCCTCCTGGGTGCTGAGATTAAAGGTGTGCACCACCACATCCATGCCTTGGACCACTTTTTTTCTTATAAAATTGTTTTTATTTTGAGCTATGTAAACATCTTTCTCTGGAATGTACCAAAGTGGCTTGCTAATGGTTTGGGATAAACATAATTAACAAAATGATTTCACTTCTATTGTACAGAGCTGTGATGTAAAATGATTTAGAGGCTGTATTTTTTTTTTTTTTAGAAAGCAGGTGATTTGGCAGTAATGTATTGAAGGAACTATCCTGCTGAAGCCTCCATGACCAAGCAACCATGTTCTGGTTGGAATACCGAGTTCTGGAGGATGCCTAGCTTCTACCGCACACAGTCACCGGGATTTGCTCAGTCTCCTCCAGCTCCATCCTGAATGGCTGGGCAGAGAAAGATTCTTACATCTGAAATGATTTGATACAATTTGTGTCGATTTCAGAATGAGAGACATAATTTTGATCAATAGCGAGTGCCAGCTCCCTTCATGGCTCGATGAGGTTCCTTGGCAAAGACAGCTAGGATGCTAGTGGCATACGTCACGATGGCTGTAAGTCACTTCTCAATGTCACCTTCCATTCCAGACCCAGAACCCCTTCACACTCACTGAGTCGCCATAATTCTGAAACACTCTGCAAAGATGGCCATAGCATCTAGCCCAGGCTTGCATTAATAAATGCACATTACACACACACCCCACTTTCTCCAGCATCATGCGAGGCTCTAGAAACCACATCAGTTGCATCTTGATTCCCACTCAGATCCTCACAACGGTCACCCTGGGCAAGAGAAAGCAATAGGAACTGTATCTGAGGTGGTGTCTTTGGCCAATCTCCTATCAGATCTTCTCTGTAGACTCTTAATCTCTCTGGTCCCTTTGTTTAATGGGAGTTTTCACGTGTTCCGCGTCCCTTCACAGCCCACAGGACTTTTGCGTCAAACTGAGCTGAAGTCGAGCACACTGAAAGACTCTTCCTCCAGGCAACCTGTGAGGGCTTCCCTCTGAGCTTCCTCCCGTGTGTTTGCAGAGGTGTGCCGTCTTGACCTGCCTTGCTGAACTTTGATTCTCGGTGAGAAGGCAAGCGATGGCTACTCCGTCTACACCTTTAACTGTTACAGCTTTGCCCAGGACAGCCCCATCCAAGGATGGCCTGAAGCCAGGACAGGGCTCACTGCTGACCTGCGACCACCTCTGGGTGATTTCACGGTTTCAGTGAGTCTTAGTTACTTTTCTATCGCTGTGAAGAGACTTCATAACCAAGGCAACTTTAAAAAACAAAAGTATTTAATTTGGGGGCTCATGATTCCAGAGTGTTAAAGTTCACATTCATCATGGCGGCTGGTAGGCAGGCATGGCTAAGCGAAGCCTATGGCTAAGAGCTTACATCCTGATCTGCAAGCTGGAAGGAGAGAGAGAGAGAGAGACAGAGAAAGACAGAGAGAGACAGAGAGAACTAACTAGGAATGATTGGGACTTTTGAAACCTCAAAGCCGGCCCCTGGTGGCACACCACCAACTACCACAGAACATAGTCCTGTTCTTGACGAACAATAAACCAGGCCTGGCAGAAGAATTCTGATGTCACTGCCATTTTAAAGAAGTGTCTTTTTACTTCCCCTTCTAAGGACCTAAAGAGCGGCTCTGCTCTGAAGGTTTCCATCTCCCTAGCACCTTTAAAGTAAAGATCGCTGCCACACATGCTTCTGGGAATGGCGAGCCCAGTCTGCTTGGCCTGTGGTCCCAGCAGCATCCCCACCTGGCTGAAGTGGAGATTAACAAACTGGCCAAGAAAGGATGGACTCCCTCCTGGTGGCTCCCAGGGGACTCATATGGCTTTGTACAAGCATGTTGTGAAGGACTTGCTCTGATCCTTTGCAGAACCCTGTTGTATAAGAAGGCAGCTACAGGTGGGTATGGCGGCCATGCCTTTAACCCAGCACTTGGGAGGCAGAGGCGGAGCTCTGTGAGTTTAAGGCCAGCCTGGGCTACAGAGTGAGTTCCAGAGCGCCAGCCTGATCTACAGAGTGAGTTTCTGGACAACCAGGAGGTGTCTCTGAGGGGTTTTCTGGGTTAGGTTAATGAAGGAAGAAAGACCCGCCCTAAATGTGGGTCCAGGACTGTATAGAAAGGCGAGTGAGAGCCAAGCAGCAGCATTCACTCCCCTCTGTGTCCTCACTACAGGGGCAACACAATCAGTCGGCCTCCCGTTCCTGTGGCTATGCCTTCCACCATGGCAAATGATCCCCTGAAGATGTGAGCCAGAATAAATCCTTTTCCCTTAAGCAATTTTTGGAGGTAGGAGGATCAGGAGTTCTGCTGCTTGTGAGTTTAAGGACAGCCTGGGCTACATAAGATCTCATCTCAAATAAGCAAACAATGAGTTTGAGGCCAGCCTGATCTACATAAGACCTCGTCTCTAATAAACAAACCAACGTTGATCAGACACCTTTGTACACAAGCCATTCAAAACAACTTTGGATTTTCCCAGGGTGCAATGCTGGAAGCCAGGCTGCTAGGTGACTAAATATCAGTAACACAAATACTTTTGGAGAGTAATTTGGAGGTCATCCGCTCCACACCCAGGACACCCATCTCAGGCTGAGAACCAGAGGCCCAGCTGCCTACCTTCCTCACAGGTACGGGACCAGGACTCAGAGAAGCTGTGACCCTTCCCTTCCACTCTTCACACTGCCCCTGGTGACCAGATACGGCCTGAGCTGGTGGACGAGCACAGATCTGACACATAGTCTTTGTGCACCTGCAGGCCACTGCCTTGCACCCTGCCCCACCCAGCCCCTCCTCCTGCTGGTCCCACCTCCCCCAGCTCTTCCCATAAGCAGCTTGCCCCCCATTTCCCCACCCCCTTTGCAGGCTCTGCCCACTCCCAGTTCTCCCTGTAATGAAGGCCCCACCTGAAGCTGAGGAGCCCCACTGAGTCCTCTGGGGCATTCAGGACTCTGAGGTCCTGACCCTTCTTAGCCTGGATCCCACCATCTAGGCTAGCAGTGCCACGGACACGGGTCAACCTCCTCAGCCCAGCCTGTCCCAGAGCCCCGGCAGTGCCCATCTGAGCAGAGACCGGAAGGAGGGCACTGAGGGAGAAAGAACAAGGTCTGGGGCCTGCACCTGCTGGCCCACTGCCAACTACCATCAGCCGTCCCTGTCACCAGCCTATCTTACAGATGGGAACACCAAGCCTCAGGAGGGCAGAACACTGCATGGCTGGGGTCATGACGCAGTCAGAGTGCTCGAGCCCCGTTTCTAAGCCCCGCTTCAGGTCCCCCCAGCCCTGGTAGAAGATGTGTTTTGTGTTCTTGGTCACGCCCCAGCTTGGCTGGGAGGTGGGACAGATGGCCCGGAAATGAGACCATGACTTACATGCATTCTCTTCCGCCCCTTTCATGCCACACGGCCTGGTCCTGCAGCAAACTCATTTGAATATATTTCCTCACCAACAGTGGGATTAAAGAAGGGCCTGCCCTTCTTGGTCCGTGGTCACTGGGGTTTGGTGAGCTTGGGTTGGGATCCTCTCACCTCCCTTGGGAGGGACAATGTGGTGATTCTAACTAGAGACCCTGTGACCCGACTCCCTGGTGCAGCACTGAGCAGCTTCACCACTCTGGGCCTGTCTTAGCAGTGAAGGGACCTCATAGTCCAAGACCCTCACAGTTGTTTAATTCAGCAACAACAGGTTAACAGGCGGGCTGAGAATGGTCCATTCCCACAGCCTGAGCCCCTGCTCACCTCCGCAGTCTGTATGATGCCCAACCCTACCCCCTTGAAACCCTGTTTACTTCTCCACAGTCTGTATGATGCCCAGCACCCCCTTGAGCTCCTGTTCACCTCCCCACAGTCTGTATGATGCCCAGCCCCCAAGCCCCTGCTCAC